GAAGGGCATCCGCTGTGTAAAACATGTGCTGGAAATGTTGGCTATACATTACGCTGTGGCGGGATTAATAAAGGGACTAAGCAGAAAAGAAAATGAATGAATGAAATATATCAGTCTATCAAAGAAAATTGATAGTCTTAAAAATAATTACCCAAATCTATGGTCAAGTCATAATTACGGGCTCCATTTAAATATACCTAACAATGTATGTCACTTCAGTCATATTTAAACTAATAAATACGAAACTGTTCACAAAAATTAAACCTGCTGTCGCACCTTAAAGGGTAGCTATTAAATCTTAAACAGACTTTATTTGGTTTACAAAAGTTATGTAATGTCGGGCGGTTTTGAAGCGGATACATTTTTAAAAAGCTGCTACACGGAGTACTGCAGGCACCAGAAGGATGTGAAATTAGACAACACTTATGTTATGAAACAAAGCATAAAACAGTCTTCACATATTGTTAACCACAGCTCTTCTTAATTTACTCAAACCAAAAACCACTATTCTAAAAAAAAATACCATAGAAAAAATCCTAAGGGAACCCAGGATGCCTGAAGCCATATTGGCCTACAAATTGACGTTAAATTGGAGAATGAAACAAAGTGCTCTTACACAAGCTGCTCCAACAAAAACATGTGAAGCCTGGGATACAGACACATGGGTCATAAGTGTATGATGTCACACTGCTATATTAACCCTGTAACTCATGATATACTATATAATATTATTATTGTAGTACAATAGATGTTTTTAAAAGACTTGATAGATGAGAAATACATTTTATAATCAAAATCTTTAGCCAATATCATAATGAGAACATTGAGCACTCTCTCAAGAAATGTTTAAAGGCACAAACGGTGCAAAACATAATAAAAAGGACCTGCACCAAATACACAAATGTGCAGTTGTTACTAGGGCAGCACGATATTGGAAAATATTTTACATTCTAGTATTTTTTTCTGCAATATTATAGTGATATAAATACAATTTGAGATGACTTAAATAGCTCTGTTTCCCCAAGTCATTCCTTTAGATTAATTAGGATGGTAGGGGAGTGAAATAAAAATATTTTTTCATTTATAATACACCTATAATAAAACAAAGTGCAGTCATAAATAAACACAATTAAGCAAATATTAGAGTGAAATAAGCAGTGCTGCTTGGTTTTTCCGAGAGAGTAACCATATTCAGGTACAAAAATTAAATAAACAAAAGTAAAACAACATTCAATTATTTATATGATCAAGACTACGCAATCTTTATTTAACTTCTTTATGCACTACACTGTGAACCCAAAAAGTTAAGGCAACTCAATCCATGAGGAAACCGATTGCAACAAACCATTTAAATTCAAAATGAATCCTAATGAGTACTGTGAACTTAATTCATTTAATTAAACAAAGCAATTTGAGCACAGTAAAACCCAATAAATGAAGTACTTAAACCCACTGAGTACTGTAAAACTCAATGAGTAAAGGCAACTCAAACCATTTGAGGAAACCAATTGCAACAAACCATTTGAGTTAAATAACTTATCTATACGAGTAATGCAAACTTCATTTAGGTTGAAGAAATAAGGTATTTAACTCATTACTTTTAACAGAGTAAAATTAACTTTCAGTTAATCGAGTCATTTTATTTGATAAAGTTGACAGTTGGGTTTTACATTCATTTTCTTCTCTGCTTAGTCCCTTTATTAATCTGGGGTCGCCACAGCGGAATGAACCGCCAACTTATCCAGCACGTTTTTACGCAGTGGATGCCCTTCCAGCCGTGACCCATCTCTGGGAAACAAACAAACAAACAAACACACACACACACACACACACACAACAATTTAGCCTTCCCAATTCACCTATACTGCATGTCTTTGGACTGTGGGGAAAACCCGGAGCACCCGGAGGAAAACGTCTCGAACGAAGAGAGAACATGCAATCTCCGCATAGAAACGTCAACTTAGCCGAGGTTCGAACCAGCGACCTTCTTGCTGTGAGGCGACAGCACTACCTACCGCATCGCCTTTGGGTTTTACAGTGTAATAAAATGATTTAAACTCTCTAAAAATGCTCACACAGTCACAGGCCTTAAAAACAAATGCAGATAATTAAACCACTCTACAAATCTCATGTGTTTTGACCTGTGGTTTCTGGTCATTTATAATCCCATTCCCAACTCAACATTGCCTATCTTGTGATGTGACTATTACAGACGCACACATTGCGAAATCGATGCTCATATGATATTACAAATTTACCAATGCCGTCTTACTAAAATGATACTTAAATACATAGTTTTGCGATCAAACATCTCAAGTGTTCATTGTAAGAACAAAACAATGCAACATTAAGCAGGGTTTCTGCAGGTTTCCTTTTTAAGTGGAGAGAATTTAATGAACGATTTAAAAGGAAGCAAAAAAGGTCATAAACAGGGCCAGCCCGAATCAACAGACAGACTATTGCGCCACTTCTGCACAGAATTTTGTAAAAAAAAAAATTAAATAAAAATGAATTCTCCACATAAATATATATTTTACATTTCAGGCTTTTAAGGCTGATATCATAATATGAGAAAATGGTTCAGTCAAGATGGATGGATTAAAAATAAACACACACACACACACACACACACACACACACACACACACACACACACACACACACACACACACACACACACTGTACAGTTTATGGGCGTAGTCATAAACTGTACATTTAAGAGAACAAAATAGAAAAAAATTAAATACACAGAACCTAGAAGTCTGAAACAACAACTTTGTCCTGATCTGCACTACTTTTTCTAACCGTTTAAAAAATATATATATATATAATAATAATAATAATAAACAACTGTAAATACAGAATAATATACATAACCTTCTCAAACACAAAAACAATAAATTTTGCTGTGTAGCTTTTGACCACTGCTTTATACAAGTAATTTGTGTTGATTACATCTCGTTTAACAAAATTTAGTTTGTCTAGATTTAAAGATTTAGCGTGTTAAGTAAATATATCATGATTTTCAAATGTTTAGATGCATGTATTGAAAAACAAAAACACTAAGGGTATATTTTGGAGAAGGCAGTTGGGCATGTTTGTTTTGCTTTTGAAATGCATGCAACATTTAAAGCAAGAGTTAAAAAAAAAACTGACTAAATTCAGTTGTTGCAGGGTAAGAGCTTTAAGAACTGCTGACACCATGATTAAAGAAATCATTCACCCAAAAATGTTCCAAACGGGTTTAAGAGGTTTCTTTTGTTAAACACAAATGAAGGCATCATGGAATCATTATCATTACAGGGATCATTACATTTTTGTTTCAACTATTGATTTTAAATGGCTATTCTTAAAAGGGGGGAAAAGTTTATAACCAGTTTATTGCGAGTAATTTCCATGTATGGGTGAACTGTCCCTTAAGATTGATAGAGGTAAAGTTGGATTTATATTCGCATATTCGACATTCTCCTTAATGTAATTTCAGAAAAGCATTATTTGTAAATTTCTAATAGAGAAATCAGATTAGTAGCCGATGACAATCAAAGTACAACATTGCTCACACTGAAATAAATAGTGCTACCCTAGTGCTGTTTTGAAGTACTTGCATGCTAATTTAGACCGAATATTTAAAGTAGCTTAGGTAAACAATATAGGGGTCATTAAATGAATGAATGTGCTAATATAAATCTAACTTTACCTCAATTTAAGATGGGTGTTTCTCAAAACTCTGATATATCATATAAGATAAGAACACATAAACCTAGTAAACATACAATGCTTCAGTCCGTGTTCATCTAAGCAACATTAATGTTGTTAATAGCTTAAGTTATTCTAACATTTAATTGATAAAAATGTGGGATTTCACAGCAGATTAACATATAAAACGTTATGGAGATGTGCAGTTTGGTGCAGACCCATTTAATTGTGTTGTTGGCTCTTTTATTTGCTAAAAAAGTATAAGGTGTCAGTCAGATGACAGGAGGCCTATAGTTTGCACAACAGGTTTTTCAGCAGTTTTGGTCATGTTGATCATTTAAACCTGCATTCATTTGCAGGTCAAGTTACAATGCAGCAGGCTTTCCAGCATTACCTTCTATTACAACGACTTTGGTCCGAGTCTGAATCTTGTTGATTGCAATGCTATAAAACAAATAGTTTAAAGGTGATGAAATTTTAAGATTGTCTTAATTACAGACATCCAGATCAGAACCTAACAAACTAATGAAGCAATTCTCAAGGAATGAGCTGGAAAGCTCTGTTCTAGATCACTGAACAGCACTGTGATTTACAACCAGCAGTGCGAGGAAGGGGCATTGTTAAAAAAAAAATGAGAGAGAGAGAGAGACTCTTTGCTCAGTCACAGAAAAGGAGGGGGACAAATAACTTTAGTGGGCTGCTTCCGAATTCCTCCACCACCCTTCATCTCGTTATGGCTTTCCGTACAGATGATGATAAACGAGCCCGATGAGGAGGTCCCATCACGATCCTAAAACCAGGGCCAAAATACGGGTGTCTGAGGATTAAACCAAATCACAGCTACACCATCCACCCCCACGCTGGAGTAAAACACGCATCACGTTCAATAAACGCCTTTCTGAATTATCTGCAAATCTCCTTAGCTGCGTATTTTTGTGCATATAAATAAGAGTGGTGTGTGTGTATTTTACAGCCAACCATAAGCTTAGGAAAAGCGCTCACTAAAGCGCACGTGTTTCATTTGTGCAGTAACGTGAGCGCGTGAATTTTAGGAGCTGGGAGGTCTCGCGCACTGCACACCAATATCAAGTGTGTAAACAAACTATTTCCGTACTCTCCAAAAACGCGGTTTTCAGCTGAACAGCAGCTCAAAAATACGCCCGAGACTTGCTGAAGCACCCCGCTGTGAGAGTATTTAGAGCACGTGAACTCAGGAAACAAGCAGGTAATACAAGTAAAGTCGGGCGAACTCGTCAACATTAGATAAACATGATGAAAAATAGCTGCGTGTATACGGGACTCACCCTAAAACCACCAGTTCCCCGTACTTTACTGGCTCTTTGGTGGGCGCACAGTGCTCCTCTTGACCCGGTGAAAACATGAGGCTTTTCGGACAACACGGCGCCTCTCTCTCTCAATTACACGATCAATCCAGCGACGAAAAGGGAAAGACTTCAAAGGACGCTTTTAACAGCCATGTTACCCGTTTTACCTGCGCCCAGTCTTACGTTGTACTTTTCTAAAAATAATTCAAATCAGCAAAATAACATATCCGACAGAAAATATAAAAATAAAGCCTAGAGTCTGGGAGACATTTCATTATAGGAAGAGCGAATAACTTAATGCTTCCATCCGCTGAAAGAAAAACAGTACTAGTAGGGGGTGGACCGTACCATTCACTTATAACGACTTTACGAGGGGTGGCGTACTAGGAAACTTTTTTTTAAGATTGTGGTTAATATTCTCATACCCTTTATCAGCGGGCTATGCATAATTAGAAACCTTTTATAATTGTCTTTCCTCTTCGTTAATAATAACGGAAAAAATTACGCTAAGACATTTCATCTTTCGTTCTGAAAACAACGCACCCCCTCTAACGGCACAGTCCAACTCAACGGCGGTCTGAGGCGGCACCTTCAATTATGTAAACAAAGCATGAAACTTCGACATTTTTAAAGAGATATCATTAGGTTATGAAGGTAGTTTTTACCATCTTAATTTAGAAACATTTTATATATCGGGCAAATAATATAAACATTAATGTATTTTTTCCATAAAAAATAGGGAAACATCTTTTTTTATTTTTAGATATAGAAATAAATAACACATTCTTTAAATGGAGTATAAAATTATATTGTTTTCTTGTTACACATTTTATTGTCCCCTAAACAAAAGTAGCATTTCAGCATAGCATCATAAGTTCATTCATTTTCCTTAGTTTCTATTTCAGAGGTTACCACAGCGTAATGAACCACCAACTATTCCAACATATGTTTTACACAAGGTATGCCCTTACAGCCGCCAACCAGTACTTGGAAACACTTTTACATTCACACATGCACTACAGACAATTTAGCTTTCCCAATTCACCTGTAGTGTGAGTGTGTATACCCACCCATACACACTCATTTACATACATTCATGCTACGAAAAATTTAATTTATTAATTTTCTTTTTGGCTTAGTCCCTTTATTAATCAGGGGTTGCCACAGCAGAATGAACCGCCAACTTATCCAGTATATGCTTTACACAGCAGATGCCCTGCCAGCTGCGACCCAACACTATTGACCTTATTCTCCGCAGACGAGTGGGCGCTGCCATTTAAATCTTTTTGGCACGAGACTTCCGGTCTCATTCACTTCCATTAATTTTTAGACATTAAAAACTGCTTGTTTCGCTGTTTGATGTTGCAAACTGATATTTCCTTGTTATATTATTCTACTTGGTCTGTATAGTCATGCAAACATTTGTTTGTAGAGCAAGTAGTTTGACCGTTTTTTGACATTTATTATTCCTTGTCATTTCTCCCATAGGAACTGAAACGGAAGTTTTAAGACAATCGCGAAAACAGGCGCACTTCTGCATTTTAGAATAAGGTCAATAGGAAACACTTTCACATTCACACACATACACTAAAGACAATTTAGCTTTCCCAATTCACCTGTAGCGCATCTCTTTGAACTGTGCACCCGGAGGAAACCCACGGCAAAATGCAAGAACATGTAAACTCCATACAGAAATGCAAACTGACCCAGCCGGCTCTCAAACCAGCGACCTTGCTGTGAGGCGACAGTGCTAACCACTGAGCCACCGTGTCGCCCTAGCCTGATATAATAAAATATTACAAAGCAGCTTTAACAGTGGTCAACAGTCTGATTGACACTGAATTGAAAGCTTCTGGACTTGTTCCGTTTGCATCAGGGATTTTGTATCACCTGCCAGAGGGTAAAGAGATCAATATAACATGGATAGAGTACATGGGATGGGATTATGTTTGACTCATTCAGAGTACATAGCTCATACAGAATCTGGGTGCTGGTATAGTCTTTTACATCTAGTTTCATGGCAGTTAGGTCAATATACAAATGTTTCAACTTCAAATTTTTACAGAAAGACTGATAAAATAAATATGGAGTGATAAAAAAAGATACATAATTTTCTTATTAATTCCAGAACCACAATCTGGTGTTTTTCACAGACCCAATTAACAGTGTCCCATGTAAGATTTTGCCCTCCTATATTGCACCCGAGAAATGCAATCCTAATTTTGATTATGAACAAATGCTGGCAACATGAGAAACAGTTACACTTGGGATCAAAAAGGATTTCCCTTGATTTATTAAATATAACTATAGCAGTAAGCTACATAACCAAATCTAAAATATAGTTTTTGATGAAACTGTCTTAAATGTTGTCCTGTGTAAAAGCACTTGTGTAAAAGTGTAAAGTTAAGTACACTAGTCCACATATAGTGGATCTAAAAGTTTTTTTTAAATCACCCAGAGACAAGAATAGATTTGGTTCAATAGCTTTAGGACACCTTTGATGTCACTTCAGATGTTCACTACTGTAGTTTAGTGTATATAGTTAGATTACCGCTCAGCATGTTAGTTATTCATTAATTCATTTTCTTTTCGGCTTAGTCTCTTCCGCTGTGGGGTCGCCACAGCGGAATGAACAGCCAACTTATCTAGCATATGTTTTACCCAGTGGTTGCTCCTCCAGCTGCAACCCAGTACTGGGAAACACTTATACACACTCATTCACACTCAAACACTACGACCAATTTAGCTTATTTAATTTACCTGTACCACATGTCTTTGGACTGTGGGGAAACCGAAACACCCGCAGGAAACCCACACGAACATGGGGATAACATACAAACTGCACACAGATATGACAACTGACACAGCCGGGACTCAAACTAGCGACCTTCTTGCTGTGAGGCGACAATGCTAACTATTGAGCCACAATTTCATCCATATTAGTTATTTATAAGTTTTAAAACTTATGTCCAAGTGTTATTCATATTTTTGATTATGTTTATTTATGTGGCACCGTGGTCCTGCGAGACACGACATTTCGTTCCACTGTATGTCCACATATCAATATTATCATAACATATTATCGTCAATAAAGATGTTGATAATTGAACTCAGAGGTTAAAAGTACTAGCAGCTCATTACCAGTTTCTGTGTTGAAATTTTACAAGACCAACAAAGGTAATGTATTACTTCAAACTATTAAAATGTCACTAAAAGTCAATCTGCTCAAACTTTTCAACTTCAAAAGTTGTCGAAGCAGAGATCAAGGTCCCACAATGCCATACAAAAGCTTAAAGTCCATGTTCTTCAGGTGAAGAAGTCATTTGTGCAAGTTATCTATTGAAAACAAATGTTTTGGTAATCTTCAGTCAAAGTCTGTCCTTTTGCTTCTACTTTGAAGTGGTGATCGTTCTTTGTTTGTTTTTTGTATTTGCTTTTTGTGCGGAAAATAAAAGAAAACATAACAAACCTCTGTTCAGCCACAATATTCTTAACCCTTGTGTATTGTTCAGATTGATTACCCTTTCGTTATGTTAGTGGCTGATTTTGCCCCATTGACTTCCATTATAATGACATTTTTTAACACCATATAATCATGCATGGCTTAGTGGTGGCTTAGCAAGAAGGACGCTAGTTTGAGTCCCCGCAGTTGGCTTTTCTGTGTGGAGTTTGCATGTTCTCCCCGTGTACATGTGGGTATCCTACCAGGGTCTAAGAATATGTGCTACAGTTGAATTGCATAAGCTAAATTGGTGTAGTGTATGGGTGTTTCCCAGTTATGGGTTGTAGTTATTCAGGAAAGTTAGTTCTGGAAAGCATATGCTGGATAAATTGGTGGTTTACTGCTCTGGCAACCCCTGATGAATAAAGTGACTGAGCCAAATGTAAAAGAATGAATGAATAAATCATGAATTCTTGATTTTGGTGGTTTTAGTAACATTTTCTGGCTTTCTGAATTCTAGATATAACATTTTAACTATCCCATTATTTTCATCAATCTTGACACATATATGTTTATATATAATTTATTTATTTATTTTTTACAAAATGTTATGTTAGAAACACCGGAAGTTGGTTTCCTTCAAAAATAAATGATTTGCAGTGGTGTAAAGTAACTAGTTACAAATGACTGTAATTGAGTAGTGTTTTTCCGGAATTGTACTTAATTAAGAAGTGAAAATGTGTACTTTTACTTTCCTTGAGTACATTTTTAGTTCTGTATCGGTACTTTTACTCCACTACTTTTAATCAACCTGCAGTCGCTACTTTATTATTTCACATCTATAGGGATAGGAAAAATCAGTCCAGTGATTCCTGTCCAATCAAATTGCACATAGAAGGTAAATCGCTTCATAATGAACTCCTCAGAATCTTAAGATATGAGCACTTTATCATTGCTGCAATCTGTTTGTAAGCGTTAAAAGTGTCCAAGAAAATCTTTACACTCATTAAGCCAGAGACTGTTTAGACTGCTGATTATAATGAGAAGATGACGGATGTTTACTGTATGATGACCGAAATAAGACTTAAACAACCAGCAGGCACAATACGTCAACATGACATCAGATTGATATTGTACCCATGGAACGTTGCATTTTGTTTAGAAATGAAACTGGGTTGACGTCAGGATTCAACATCAGGCTGTCCAACGTCCAACTTAAAACCAACCAAATATCAACGTCTAATGGTGTCACAGCTTGATGTTGTGTGGACGTTACCACTATGATGTCTGTCAGACGTTGGATTTTAGTTGCCATTCCTGACGAATAAATGTCAGTATCATATCTGTCAATATGATGTTAATTTAAGATGTTGGCTTGACATTGGATTTTGGTCACTTTCTAACAACATAAAATCAACCAAATATCAACATTATTTCTTTATTATTATTAATTATTATTATTATTCATTATGTTATTATTGGACATCAAAATAATGTTGTACTTAGAAGCTGGCTAGATATTGAATTTTGGTCACCTGACATCACAACCTAAATCTAACCTAATATTAACTTTTTATTTGTGTGCCTGCTGGGCAATAGCTAGATGCACTAAAGAATGTTACGTTTACACATCACACAAGCACAAATTAGATGTAAATGCATCAGCTTTTTACAGCGTAATACTCACAAAAAAATGTATACTTTCATTCTTTAAATAATATTTACAACAGAAATTTTTCCTCTACTTGCACTACATTTTAGGCAGGTAATGGTACTTCTACTTAGGTATGATTTTTCTGTACTATTTCCACCACCGATGATTTATCCTTTA